TGGCTCTCTGAAGCTGAGCATAGCTGCTCCAGCCAAACCCAGTTCAATATGAGGGCAGGCACAGGGACATGATTGCAGCACAGTCTCTCCTATACCTCCCCCCCCAGGTGTCTGATAACAGGACCCTTCTGCCTGTGAGTCAACAAATGTGGGGATAATCCCATTTGTAGCTGGCCCAGGATAGGCTCCCTAGCAGGCAAGTCCTGGTGTAAAGCCCTGTCCCAGGCCTCAGCCAGTTCCTGTTTCCCTGTGTTCCTCACACTGACTAGCTCTCTGCTCTTGTCTACTTTCTCACTTCATGTATCACTTTATGAAAGGAGCCTTCTCCAGCTTGGTCATGAGGGACACTGTGACTGCCATCCTGTGAGTAGTGGGGGGCAGGGACCAGGAACTGAGACCCAGTCAGATGCAAAGTGCTGCTGATGCAGCAGTGCCTGGAGCCAGTGAAAAGGGCTCATGAGCCTGGGTATGAGCTATTGGCCCAGTTGGGTGGGACCTGGTGAACACCCTGTTCTGCATTCCCTGCTACTCGGCAGGCCTCTGTCCCAGTGCAGTGGGCTAGGGATCGCTTGGATCTATTGTTACATGAACACTGCTCTGTGGAACAAAGGTGGGAGGTGTAAGATCCCAGGCCAGTTCTTGGCAAACTGGGCCCTGGTCACAGAGCTGTTGCTGTCATTGGTGTTGATGGAGCCTTCTGGCTGGCAGCACCTGGAGGGAGGTCAGGAATGAGCTGGGCTACACATCTGAGATCTGCCTGGTGCATGGTCCTTGCTGGGGCATTGCAACATGGGAGTGTTACCCCTTCTCATTCTTAGCTTTGGGGACAGACTGCAGCACACCTTTCCTGCTTTCTCTTTCTGCCAGGCAAGTTTCAGGTGGTGACCCAGAAGTCCAGAGCTGCTCTTGCTGTGGGCTGGGACTGGATGAGGGAGAGACTAGAGCAAACAAGCTCTCCTTTGCTAGTGCTGACTCCTGTGGGTCAGAGTCCTGGATGCTCTAGGTTTGCAGTAAATTGCCTTTTTTTCCATTGAGCCCACTTGCATAAGTCTCCAGCTTCCTGTGGACTGAGTTAGGTTCATGGGGCTGAAGAGGGGGAAAATCCTGGTCCACCTTCCTAGGGCTGCTCTTGTGTTCAATGTGAGTCATTGATTAAAAGCCAAAATAACCCTGGCCCAGGGGCTAGAACACAGGACTTTCCCTCCGAGTTGCTGTTGTCATGCACACACTGTTCTTCCCCTGGCTTCATGAATCTTGGTCTCATGGCTGCCCAGGAGTCCAACTTGGACCAGGGGTGAAAAGCCCCCTTCCCCTTTCACCAGTCCTTCTGAACATACCCTATTCTATGGCCCAGTGTTCTGGCACAGTCCTGGGGAAGAGATGCTTCAGCGCCAGATCCTGGATCGTGTTCTGCCTTCTGGGATTCTTTGTGCCCTCAGAGCACACGCAGGTACTGTGTTCTAGTGCCCTGTAACCTATCTCTGTCCAAACCCCCTGAAGTGGCCTTGCGTATGGCAGGTTTCCAAATCTTGAGTAACTGTCACTCCAATCTGAATTCTCTGCACATTTCTGCATTGTTTGTAACATGTAGATGTAGTGTCCAGTACCTGTTTTCCCAGTGCTTTGTGTGGCGGGGATGGATCTTATGCACTGACCCAATACTAGAATGCAGGGACTGCTCCGTGATTAGGGACATACTGAAATGGGCATTGCACAATTTTCATGGAAATTGTGATTTCAGGTGGGCCCTGTGAAAAAGCCCAGGGTCTCTGGAAAAAAAAACCCCAGCTTGCCAAAAATAAAATGCTGGTTTCTTCTGGGGAGCCATCAGGCCTCTTAGCCACTGTGGCCCAGCCATACAGCTCATGGAGGGAGGAGGCTGCTGGCATAGCAAGGTTGCTGCTGCCCCTGCTTCTCACTGCTGAATAGCTATGAGGGCTGTCCATCATATGAGCCCATCCCTCTCTGCCAATTGGTGGTGTGGGAGTGGGGCTGCATGACAGGCAGTCCTCACAGCTAGTCAGTGGCAAGGAGCCAGGCACTGGGGCCTGGCCTTGACCAGTCTAGGCACTCGAGCATGGCTGCTGGCCATGGGATCTGCCCACAGAATCTGCTGGCAGCCACCTCAAGTTCAGTAGACTGCTACCCACAATTTCAGTCACTGTCCTTGCTAGTGTCACACAGGGAATCCTGTTCAGCTGGCTTCCAGCCAGGGCCCCAGCATTGCTGCTTCCTAGGTTACTGTCCCTGCACCCTGCACTTGTGGCTGATCTCCGTTCTTCCTCAATTTAGGCCCTTGTAGCAGCACTAAAATGCCCATTGTCCACATGGGCCCACTGAACCAACAGGTTCCAATGGCTTCATGCCACTGACCTGTCCCCATCGGCGCTTCTTTCCCTGCCAGTCTATCTACACTAGTTTTGTATTTTCTTCCAGACCATTAGGAAAGATATTGGATAGTACTGACCAGATTCCCTGAGATCTATTGGTCAGCCTATCTGATTGGGTACAGCAGTTCTTTAATAAGATTCAGTGTGTGACATGTTCCTTTACCATCTCACTGCCCCTAGAAGACCTTGTTGTTACAGAGTCGGGGCTGCCTAATTTCAGTTCAGCCTAGTGCAGAACAGTGTGCTCACACAGTTGAAGCCAGGAAGTAGGTGAGAAAGAGAAGAACCTAATGTACAAATCAGGGATTCATATAGAAGGAAAAGGTAAGAGAAGACCAAACCCTTCTCCTCCATCCAGTCCTGGACTGAAACTCTGGAATGAGATGTAGGGCAGAGGTCTCCAATCTTGGCAGTAGGGGATTTGGAGGCCCATGAACACCCTGCTGTGGAGGGATGTGGCATCCTTGCCTCATGGATCTTCAGGAGGTGACTCATTTTAATGTTGTGGGGGTGATGGTTTTGGGCTCCAGGCTCTGGTCTGTGGGCAGCACAGATGTCCCAGGTCGTCTTTTGGGGGTGAAGCATGTGGCAGTAGCCCCTCACAGTTAGGGGGCTGCCCACAATCTAAAGGCATGTCATGGAGGCCTGGAGCAGGAGACTCCTCGTACTCTTTTCTCTGCAGTCAGGGGACAGGGGCTCAGGGGAAGCAAGAATTATATGGGGTGCAAGTGGCTGTAGGGCAGGTAGGGTTGATGTGGGCAGGGTACCAGCTCCCTCTTAGCCTCAGCTCTCTTCCCCAAAACAACAGGCTGAGTCCTGGTCTAGGGGATTCTGATGAGACTCTAGGATGCATGCAGTGAGAGGAGACAGTCACTGTACTGAAAGTGCCCTCCCTTGGCTCCAAGCTCTTCATTCCCCCAGGCACCCATAGAGACATAGACCACCGCAGCCCTGAGAGCATAGCTGGCCAAAGGAGTTACCACTCCCTACACTGCCAGCCTGGGCAACTTCTGTCAGTGCTGCAGTGTCTCTGGGTGAAGCTGCTGTAGGAGGGAAGGCTGGGGGAGTCAGCATGGGGAGCAGCGAGCGCCTGCTGTGGAGACAGCCCCATGTGTGTACATGCATGGTAGCATGGGTTCATGCACATGTGTACACACACCACTACCCCCATGTATGCATGTGCACCACATGCTCTGACATACATATCACTGCACGGACACCTTGGAGCCCACACTGCTGGTCCCACCCACACGTGCACAATCTGCTAATTCTCCATATAGCCTCCACATGGAATGCACCCCTAGGCCCATCAGCCCCTCCCAGCAGGGCCACTGTCCTCACCCCCAGAGACTGAGCAGAGTCCCATGTTTCTACCTTCTTCAAACTATCTGAGAATGAAATTCTACTTTCTGTAGGTCTACTTTCTGTAGGTCTCCAACTGTGGTGCCATCATTTCTGAAAAATCTGGGACAAACTTTCTATAATAGTTGGCTAGCCCCAGAAATGCCCTCACTTGCCTCTTAGTTGTGGGATGCTGATACATCTTCAGGCCTCCACTTTATCTAGAGGGGGGCATGTTTGCCCCTACCCCACACTAAATCCCAGGTACTGGGCTTCTCCTTACTAATAACACATTTTTTCAGGTTGGCTCTGTGTCTCATTTCTCTTAGATCTTGGAGGACAGCTTTAGGAGTCTCAAGGTGTTCCTTCCAGCTTACTGTAAATGATGGCCAATCACTTGCAAACAAATAAGATTGTCTTCCAAGGATCTTAACAGTGAGTCTGCAGGTGGCTCCATAGCCCAATTCTAGATCCACATGTTTTGTTGCAGTGAGGACAGATGTTTCCAGGAGGGATGGGCACTGTGTTGCTGTGTTGGACGTTCTGATGTTCTTTTCTCCTGTTCCTTTTTTCCTCTTCTGCCTGTCGATGAGCTGTTTCAAAGTGTTGAGATCCCTCCCAAAGAGCCTTCCTTCATTTTGGTTGCTCCCAAGCAAGGGTCTCCCAAGTGCTGATGTTGATGTTGCACCTCTTCATGTTTGCCTTCAGGGTGTCTTTGAAGTGCTTTCTTTGTCCTCCACTACTTCACTGACCTTCTTTCAGCTGTGAGAAAAAAATTCTCTTTGGAAGGCGGGAGTCAGGCATGCGAGCAACATGACCTGTCCAGTGAAGTTGGTTTTGGATGATCATAGCCTCAATGCTGTTAGAATTTGCTTCAGCCAAGACGCTGATGTTTGTATGTCTATCCTCCCAGCTAATCCAAAGGATCTTGTGAAGGCACCATTGGTGGTACTTTTCCAGGCTCTTGAGAAGTCTTCTGTACATGGTCCAAGTTTCTGAGCCATACATCAGAGTTGGAATGACAATGACTTGATAAACCAAGAGCTTTGTTTCAGCAAGGATGTCATGATTTAAAAAGACTCTGTTACTCAGATGTCCAAAGGCTGCGCTCGCACATTTCATGGTGTTGTATTTCTGCGTCAATGTCTGCCTTTGATGAAAGATGGTTTCCAGGATAGGCAAAGTGATCCATGTTCTCCAGCAATTCTCTGTTGATTGAATGGAGGGGGGTTTGTTTCTCCATTTGGAGCAGGTTGGTAAAGGACTTGCGTTTTCTTGATGTTTAGAGTTAGGCCAATACTGTCATAGCCTTCTGAGACTACATTAAGAATAGTTTGGAGGGCTGTTTCAGATTGAGCAACAACAGCATTGTCATCCACATAGTAGAGCTCTATTATGGATGTTGTCATGGTCTTCCTTTTGGACTTGAGTCTGTTGAGGTTGATGAGTCTTCTGTCCATCTGTAGCAGGGCACTAAGGTGCCTGCTACTGACAACAGTATTACGAGCTCAGCTGCCAATCACCAGGGCAGCACAGGTGCAGGTTGCCGGGGCAACCAGTCTCGCCATCTGACCAGAAGGGAGCAGGGCCTGGCCTTTATAAACAGCCAGGCTGAGGCCGGAAGGGCAGTTCTTTTCTGGCAGCCAAGGAGGGTGGAGCTCGGTGGAAGCAAGCCAGGCAGGCCTAGCGGAGAAGCCTGATGGCCTGAGTGTGGTAGGATGGTACTGGGTGGAAGCAAGCCAGGCAGGCATAGCAGAAAAGCCTGATGGCCTGAGTTTGCGGTGAGGATACTGTGTGGAGAAAACCCTGATGGGGACAGACATGGAGGATACCCAGGTTGGCTGGGAATTTACGTTATAGCCAGGGGCTTTGTATTTTCTGTTTGTTGTTGAGTAAGACCGGAGGACTGGGTGAGGCTGTAGGGGTGGAGGGGAGGACTCATGGGAGCTCCCCAGTAGTGGGGGAGTTCCTGGCACTGGAGAGGGCGCTGTGTTTTGGGGTGTCCTGACCCTGGCCCCAGGGTGGGCAGCATCGGGAAGAGCCCAGTGTGGGCACAGGCAAGAAGCCCCAGTGGGGCATAGGACTTGAAAAGTGGGTCTGGGGGCCAGGTAAGGCCAAGGCCGCCTGAGCCCCAATTGTGAGAAGCTCCAGTGGGGCATAGGACCCGAGAAGGGGGTCTGGAGGCCAGGCATGGCTAAGGCCACCTAAGCCTCAAGTGCAGGGATTGCGAGGGAAGGCCCCAGGGAGGGCG